TCGGACAAGTTCTAACAAGAGATATTTTTGATGAACATTTTTTGAGTTATTGCCCTTGACTTTGTAAACACGCGTCAAAAGTTGTTTTTTGCCCTTGATTAGAGCTGTATGATTTAATTGTTTGTTGTATTTGGGTTATTGATATTGATTTTAAAAAATTTTGTGGAATTATTCAGTATAAATAATTTCTTCAATATGAGAAAATTCGTACTTTAGTCACTAAAGACTGTTTTATTATTTCTGACAGCTGCCAGTGGGCGTATGTTACCTTGCAACGCAAGCTATCTTATATCTCAATCAGAAGGACTGAATGTTTGAATGAGACAATAAACTATCGGTCACGTGTACAGGGTTATGCAGCTATTCTGGAAAAATTTCCTTCGTTGGACACGGCATGGCGTTACCTGTCTGAACAATCAGGATTAGATAAGTAAGAGACAGAGCTAAGTTTCACAAGCCAGTTCTAAATTATGAGCTGATCTGATAAATTATCAATAAACATCATAATTATCCTGCTACTGCTTATAAAACTTCAATCGCTGTTTAATTCATAAGCCAGTTTTTACTAGGAGTAAATTACTAGGAGTAAATCAGGGACTTTGAAAGGACTAACATTCTAGTAGACAAAAACCCCGAGTTAGATGTCTATTTTTTAAGGGTAATCGAAAACCAGGTATCTTTATCTGTGACAAGTTGAGTACATTCTTTTTACTCTACTACATATATCAAATTACATCAATTCTTATTCCTTACTCGTTTGAATACGAAAAATAAATTGTAAATATGATGTTTAAATCTCTAATCACTAGAAATATCACATTTGTGAAATCTTATTTTTTAACTCAGAATTATTTAAAGGGACAGATTTGCCATTTTCGCCAGTTAATTTGGGTCTTGAATATATGAAAATAGTCAGAAGTACTGGAAATAGCACGATTCCATAAAAAAACATAAAACTAGGAATTTTAACGGTGAGCTGTGAACAATATTACTGATTAGCTTAGCCAATAAAAAAAATCCCGTTTCTGAGACTAAAGTACTATTGGTCAAACAAATGCCGAATCTGTCCATTTAAAACATCCATCCTTATTCATTTCGTGATTATTCATACGGTATCGAAGCAACGAACCTAATATTTTGAATTATATTTACATAGGCATCTTTCCACTAAATTGTTTCTGAGAAAATATCTGTATGATTATGAGGTCATAATACCATGGCCCTGGCTTTGATATTTTTTAGAATAATTCTGAATAAATAATTTTTGAGCCTCCCGATATATTCGAAAATATGTTACAAATATAAAACCCCTTTTGATCACAATAAATTTGAAAAATCAAAAATAACTGTACCTCTCAATAGGTGCCTTGGCCAGGTTTATCCAGTACAAATCCGTGAATACAGTTACATAATACTCAACACTATTTAAATATCTTATAATGAACTAGATTATAATCTTCAACTTAAAAAAACCAGTGAAGTCAATTATGACTGTGGCTATGGTTAACGATGCATGTTATGTGAAAACGAGGATGAATTCTAGGAGAATTGTATCCTTCAAGTAAACCGGACCTAGTGAGGAAATATTCATGGACACAAGTAGATAACATACACATTTAAAGTACACAAAATCTATAATAATCGATAAAAATAATTCAACAGAAAAATCCGTCTCGGTTCAAAGAATCAAGATATAGAAGTAAATCAGTCGTATCGGTCAAATAAGTTTGTTTATAACGACAAACTACAATGTTTTGATATATATATATTTCATTGACCTATTTATATATATAATATAATATACTTTTATTAAATTTTATAATTCATAAATTATATATAAATTGTAACTGTTTGATATTGTTTTTAGCAATTATTTGTTTGACAAATTTGCAAACAATTTTGCAAAGCCCACTCAGCTGGAACGGGTGAGGTCTTTGTCTTACTGTTTACTCATAAAAATAATTCCGATGAGAGTGGGCCTCTATAGCAGCATTCGTGAATAATTAAGTTGTGTACGAGTTTTAGTTTAGTTAATTATATATCCTATTCAATTTTTCTTACTTGGCATAATAATGTAGTATATCTAGGAGTAGGAAATTTTCCCGAGGGGATGGTAGCCGCACTGTCACAAATTGTGTATGCTGTGCTTTTTTAATTGTAGGATTCCGTCCTAGGTGGTTGGAGCTTTTGTCAAAGGAGGTGGAGTGAAAGCGAGGAGGAGGAGGGGGGGGGGGGGGGGGGGGGGCGGGGGTTAGCCAGTTAGAATACAATAATTTTTTTCATAACGTCCATTGAATGAACCTGACTCATACTCACTTGACACACAAATATTTGCACGTTGAATAATAAGAAATATTTAGAGCAAGTACTATATGAGTATAAACAATAAACAACAATTGTGATAAGACTAAGATATAAAAAAGACGGGATTGGTCTAGTAGTTATAATTATAAAGCTGCCTTACAAAAAGACTAGAACAGACTAATAGACACTCAATTTCATTAGGACGATATCGTGATGTCGACCATGAATATTCTGATTGAGAAGATTTAGTTTTAAAGTACACTGCCTCTTAGGATGACAAAAAAAGTTAAAATTTTAAACTTGGCCAAAATGTATCTTTCTTTCTTGTAATAACTATACACAAGAATCCCTGTATAATCCTATAGATTCACACAACAAAGAAACAATTCATTAACTAAGCAATTTTGAAACAGGCTTATAACCATGTTTCAAAAATTTATTTTAATATCGTCGTATATTTATATGGATTCTATTCTGGTAAGTCGAACTGGTGAATACACACTTATTGACCATGCTTGAGACTTTTATGTCCATTCTTTTACATAGTTTGTAACGAAATGTCATATATGGGCCTTTGTCTTGATAATATAGTATTCATATTTGTATACATATATTCTTATTTTTACTCTTACAGAAGATTAGGACGTAAAACTCCATTCATTTCATTTATTTTTACTCTTTGAAACTCGAAAGCTTTAATCAAAGCATCGAAGGTGAAACTGTCAAAGGCATACCTGAACCATATTGACTTACATGTACATGTCCCTATGTAAATTTGAACAAACTCGCACATTTATGGTTCGATGTATAAATTTGAACATACATGAACATTTATGTTTCGAGTATCAAGTTGTTGGGATTATATACTGGTGTTGTTAGGTCATATATCTCTATAAATCATACAATATAGAGAGGTATCGAGTATACAATAATGTAATTTAGAAGTTAATAAGCTATACTTATTTTTGTAAAGATTTAGGCCTGCTTTTGAAAATGATCGGGTTACCCAGTCAATAAAGATAGCTTGCCAGGCAAGGTAATATACGCCCACTGGCAGCTTTTATTTTGAATAAAAAGATTTAGAAGTACAGTAACAATCACCAGTATGAAATATTCTACCTTCATTCATACACTTCTTTTGAACTCTTTAGCGCAATACTGAATAATATTGAGTATGAGTTATTGCCCTTGTTCTTGAAAATGAGTTCAATTTTGAGCCCGTGAAAACTCTAGAACGTAAATATTCAATCTTTAGCGCGGGGCTGAATAATGAAACCAAGTTTTGTCAAAATCCAGCAAGAATCATGCCTTTTTGTGTTTAAGAGCTAAATTTTAAAGCGTTTCTAGAACAATGGCAATAATTCATACTAAATATTTTTCAATTCTTCTGATTTCAATAGGGTTCATCCTTGGGTGATTACGAACATTCACACCAAGTTTCATCAAAATCCGTAAAGAATTGTGCCTTCTAGAGTGATTACGAGCTAAAAATTGAACGCTTTTTCAAGAGCATGGGCAATAACTCATACTAAATATTTTTTGATTTTTCTGCTTTTCAAAAGGGTTTATCCTTGGGTGATTACGAACACTCATACCAAGTTTTGTCTAAATCCGTCAAGAATTGTGTCTTGTAGAGTGCTTACGAGCAATGGTGGATGGACGGACGGACCCACGGACGGACATGGGTGACGGCAATATACGCCTCCCATTTCATGTGGGCGTATAAAAAATATTACAATTCATTGAAATATGTCAAACTTCAAATGATTAAACCTCCAAATTAATAAAAACTGTACATTTAACAATACATATAATAAATCTAATTTAACTTTTGTTAAAATGATATTTTTTTCATCAACACCAGAAGGTGAAATTAGTTGACAAGACCATGCAGACCTACACAGAAATATTGACAATTGCAAGTTATCAATGTTTTTTATTAATGGTAATACCGTTCGCTACTTTTGTTAAATAGCTATGCTACAAAATTAATACACCACTTTTATCCCATTAAATTTTTTGCCCTCAGTATTATGTCCGCAATGATGTATGTTCGCCTTGGGATACGTTCATATTTTTGACCCAATAATTCACAATGCTATATCATTTTGGCCTAAGATGTGTTATATTGCCAAACGTATTCATTTGATGATCTTAAATGAAGTTGTCTGCAAATTTGTAGCGTTATTTGTTCAAACCGTTACCAATTGGTATCAAGAAACATGCCCAGAACAATTTTGGCTTCATTTCCAGCATAATATTTTGTTCGGCGAAATAGGTCCAAAATAGCAGTGTCTTCTCGCGAATATCTAACGCAACATGAAACAAATTTAATTAATTCAAAGCTATAAAGTAAAAAGTATAAAGTTTGATAAAAGTGATATAACATTATGAAATGTTGAATGGGAAGATTATGTTCTTACCTCCTACGGGAAATATAAACTAAACTCTGAGTAAACGTGACCATAAATATTTCAATACAATAAAATGACCTTCCTTAAATCCAAGAAACTACAATCGAAGTTCACTCCATGTGATCATAATGTCTTTTTATTTTAACGTATCATAAACACCGCAATTTGATAGGTCTCGTGTAGTAGACCGTGAACTAGTCAAAGAATATAGAAAAATATAAGGTTTGGGATATATGTACTTTATACGGAAGCGTATTAGGGCCATTCATTTTTTTTTTTTTTATTTTGAATTTTCAAGTTAGTATGTTGAACTTTCAAGTTAGAATGTTGAATTTTCAAGTTAGTAACTTGAATTTTCAAGTTCGTATTTTGAATTTTCAAGCTAGTATGATGAATTTTCAAGTTAGTATGTTGAATTTTCAAGTTAGTAACTCGAATTTTCAAGTTAGTTACTTGAATTTTCAAGTTAGTATGTTGAATTTTCAAGCTAGTATGTTGAATTTTCAAGTTAGTATGTTGAATTTTCAAGTTACTAACTTGAAAATTCAACATACTAATTTGAAAATTCAAGTTACTAACTTGAAAATTCAAGATAATAACTTGAAAATTCAACATACTAAATTCAACATACTAACTTGAAAATTCAACATACTAATTTCTGTCTCTATTCCAGCCTATTTGGATAGATAGCTATTTGGACAGATGTCAGCTGGTCTACTCCAATGAAATTACTGCAAGGAGAGCAGCATCAGGTTGTGTTAGAGTGGAAGTTGAAAAGACTATAAGAGGTTAGGTTCCTAGTCAGAAAATCAGAGGCTAGGAGTCTCTGTCGGAGGCTAGGTTAGAGTTGGAGTCTCTATCGAAGGCTAGGTTAGAGTTGAAGTCTCTATCGGAGGCTAGGTTAGAGTTGAAGTCTCTATCGGAGACTAGGTTAGAGTTGGAGTCTCTATCGGAGGCTAGGTTAGAGTTGGGGTCTCTATCGGAGGCTAGGTTAGTGTAGGAGTTTCTATCGGAGGCTAGCTTAGGTTAGAGTTTGAGTCTCTGTCGGGGGCTAGGTTAGAGTTGAAGTCTCTATTGGAGGCTAGGCTAGAGTTGGAGTCTCTATCGGAGGCTAGGTTAGAGTTGGAGTTTCTATCGGAGGCTAGCTTAGGTTAGAGTTTGAGTCTCTATCGGAGGCTAGGCTAGAGTTGAAGTCTCTATCGGAGACTAGGTTAGAGTTGGAGTATCTATCGGAGGCTAGGTTAGAGTTGGAGTTTCTATCCGAGGTTAGGTTAGAGTCTCTATCGGGGGCTAGGTTAGAGTTGGAGTCTCACTCGGTGGCTAGGTTAGAGTTGGAGTCTCTATCGGTGGCTAGGTTAGAGTTTGAGTCTCTATCGGAGGCTAGGATAGAGTTGGAGTCTCTATCGGTGGCTAGGTTAGAGTTGGAGTCTCTATCGGTGGCTAGGTTAGAGTTTGAGTCTCTATCGGAGACTAGGATAGAGTTGGGAGTCTCTATCGGAGACTAGGTTAAAGTTGGAGTCTCTATCGGAGTCAAGGTTAGAGTTGGAGTCTCTATCGGAATCTAGGTTAGAGTTGGATGGTTATGGTTGGAGTCTCTATCGGAGACTAGGTTATAGTTGGATGCTTGGTGTCTCTATCGGAGACTAGGTTAGAGTTGGATGGTTAGGGTTGGAGTCTCTATCGTAGACTAGGTTAGAGTTGGGTGGTTAGGGTTGGAGTCTCTATCGGAGACTAGGTTAGAGTTGGATGGTTAGGGTTGGAGTCTCTATCGGAGACTAGGTTAGAGTTGGATGGTTAGGGTTGGAGTCTCTATCAGAGACTAGGTTAGAGTTGGATGGTTAGGGTTGGAGTCTCTATCGGAGACTAGGTTAGAGTTGGGGTCTCTATCGAAGGCTAGGTTAGAGTTTGAGTCTCTATCGGTGGCTAGGTTAGAGTTTGAGTCTCTATCGGAGGCTAGGATAGAGTTGGAAGTCTCTATCGGAGGCTAGGTTAAAGTTCAAGTCTCAATCCGAGGCTAGTTTAGAGTAAAAGATTCTATTAAGTTGGTTCCCCAGTTAGGGGACTAGTTTGGGTTTCGGGGAAGAGAGGGTTTGACTCTGCCAAATATTTAGGACTAAGAATCTGAACATGTTCAAAACTTGTTCCAGCTGTTTTCTGACCTTTGGATACATATTCGCTGACTGCTGGTCGATCACGGCCAATTCCAGATCAAATATTTTTTCGAAACATTGACCAAGCTGAACAACTGGTTACAAGAAGATCAATGCATATTCCCAGGAATTAATAACTATAAATTGATAGTATAATATAGTTTATTGTTTAAAATATATCAAATTACATCAGACTATTACCATTTACATAGACCAAAATACGGAATTATAACATACAAAAACCTTGGTGATAGAGACAAACCTTTAGATTTAAATAATTCAAAAGTGAAATCGTGTATTGATTTCGCAACTTAATAGTTACAAGCGTTCTGGTGCTTGAAAGATCATTAAGAACGAATCAAAGTAAAAATTTGGTCGAAATTTATGGATCAAAGGCTTTCTTACAATTTTTGGAAAGCGAAAATCAAAGAATCAAATATAATATTATAATCCACCCGCTAACGTCTCACCAGAACCCACATCCCCAAACAACATACCAGTGTAATCTTTAAGATGTACTACTAAGATATGTTACAATATGGAAACCAATGTGGAAAAAAGAGGTATAAGAACAGCAAACAGTGAAACGAAACAATGGTAAAGCAGTTGTTAATGAAACTTTGAGGAATTTTGACGGAGATACATCCCTGAAGTCACTCGAAACAGATGAGCTAAAGAAGACGTCTATCTGGTCGGTGGTTTATAGTGTTTGATTTAGAAGTATATTTATGCAGAATGAGTCTAAGCATTTTACAGAACAGCGGCACCAGAACGCTTTACCATATTAACAAACGAATCTGAGACCAAATTGAGAAGAAAAGTGAAGGTTTGTATAGTATTTGTGTGTACCATTGAAAACGGCGAGGTTTCAGTCACCAAATAAACATGCTTGGATTCTGAAGGCCGCCTTTCATAATGATTAACATATTAAAGGGATACTACGTCTTAGAATAAACATAAAATTTAAAAATTTTCAACTTGGCCAAAAAGAGCATATATTCATCAGTAGATATACCTGATGTCATAAATAACGTAACAGGATCCTTATATAATTCGAAAGTACTTAATAAAAATGCAATTAACTATTGAAAAACGCTTAATATTATGATTAAGCGTTTTACAATAATGACTTAGTTTTATGAATATTCCAATTTTATAGATTTTACAGGGAATCTGTTGTATCTTTATTACACTAGGTAAGTTCACTGATGAATATATACTCATATTGACCATTCTTGAGAATTAAATTTTATGTTCATTCTAAGACGTAGTATGACTTTAAAATAATACACGGCAAATTCAATTGTAATTTTGTATCCATTTTCCTATTTCTCTTTATATATGGATGATTTCCAATTCAGGATCAGAAATAGGTAAAATTGGTGCATTTTTGGAAGCTCCAAATGGACGAATGACTGAAATAAACAGACGAATAATAATTCACATAAGATAGGCTAAGACTCAAATTATCGTCGCTATGGTAAGCACGATTTCTTAAATCGAATTCAAATCTACTCGCATCCTCCTGTACATGCAAAAGCAGACGCACAAACGAAACTCTGAATGGCTTAAATACTTTTGTTGTCATAATTAATATCATAATTCATACATTCCTCAACCCCTTATATTATAGTAACATTTTGCAGGGAAATAGGCCTAAGCCCAGTTTGCTATGAATGAACCAACCTACAGAGGTATCGTTAAACCCATGGTCAAGAAGATTTTTGAATTTACAAGGTACTTTTGAATTAAACCGAAATTATATAGATTCAATTCTAATTCTATAACATATAATATCTTCTAAAGTTTACTATGGATAGAATAGAAAGTATTCTGATAACCTGTGTTAGTACTTACAATCAGAATTGGGTAAGATATAAGAAATTGAGTTCTTGGCTTTAAATCTCATTAATGGTTTATTAACAACCATGGGCATACCATCTGTCGGTTGATTTTCATTAAAGTCATTGTTAGAAACATGGAATGGTACCACTTTATTTTGTCGTAACCGTACTAAGTTGACCAACGACATAAATCCATTCCGAATCTACAAAAAAGTTTGATTATTGATCAGCGACGCTTTGTCACACTGCCCGATAAACGAAAACGCTTATACAGTGCATAGTGCCTACTTAACATTATATTTACATATCTATAGCCCGACAATACAGTGAAAAATTTTATCAACTGATATCGTAGCCTAATTATTAGTTATGCATAGGCCTACTCTAACAACGTTACGTGATAGACGCTATATGAAACGCGGTTAAAACGAAATGATAAAAATAATATTAAGATCAATTAAAATGTAATTATAATTAATAATACACCTCTTTCATTGAAAACAATAATTGTACAAGACAAAATACTAACATTCTTCCATACTCCCATAATGAATTTTACAATTTTTTTTCCTCCTTTTGCAACCGACACGTTCCCCTACTACTATATCCTAGGAAATGAAATTTGCCAATGCCTGTATTATGACGTTATAATGACTACAGTTTCTTGTGGTAACGTCGTAAATTTAAACAATTTACTAATTTCTTTAAGATTCACAAAAATTATTCGCCTTTTGACAGAAAACTAATTTTTTGGGGCCAAAACAGGGGTTTTTATAGATTAGGCGGAAATCTCGTTAAGGCACGACGTTACTACAGACGACCAAGATCAGAAAGGATTGTGACGTCACAGAACGTTATTCTACTAGGAAATCTATTAGGAAATGTTCCTTGTGTGGTAATATCTGGCCTTTTGATAAAATATGAAGGAAAGAATTACAAAAGCGGCAAGGAGGGTGTGGAAGAACGTGAGTTGTCTACTATTTTTGATCATACCATAGGTCTACAGTTCCATCGAACATTTTTTAATTCTTGTTGCAATTAATTATAATTGTGTAGATTTTCTATAGTATTGTATTATCTGAATGTTCTTCAGAACCAATTCGATTCTGTGAAATAAGATCAACGCAAGATAAACTTGGAACTTACCACCAGTTATCCATAATACGAGATATGTTGTATGTATATTTTTCAGGTTCGGAAGGGGATTCGAGGGGTGATGCACAACATAAAGTTAAAGCAGAATGAAGAGAAACCAAAGAAAAATGATATCAGAGGTTACAACAGAAAAACACCGAATTGCCTCCAAACAAATTTTGATGGTAAGCTAAGATTATATTCGAGTTTTCATTGCGAAAGAGTATAGTTGTGGGAATGGTAAATAACAATATTTTAGTTTCTGGAGAACCCTTTAAACAGCTAGCCTTTGTGGACATTACTATACTCAGCAACTGGTTTAAAATATACGCCAGTTATTGTCAGCACAAAAAGAAATTCTATGTGATATTAGACAAGGCTGACAAATATTATATATCCATGTTATGCCGTTTTATTAATTTCAGTAATGTATGGTGTACTTGTGAATGAAGAGGAGGACAAACCATATAGCGGCTGTAAGTCTCTAGACACCTCGATGTCATTGGTTTTCAATCTTTTAGACTCCGGGTTCCCCTTTCCAATGTTAGACAAATGTTACTCAATTGTAGATGATTTAGTAATGTTTTTCCCATTTTTTGCAAATCTCAACCCACTTCCTTCGTCACAACAACTTAATGGCATGTTATCACTATTGGGCATTTAGAAGAATAAATCTATCTGTTATTTGGGATAAAAAGAATCTGCAGAAGTGGTGCAAACTAATTATTGTAAAATATTATAGGACAAGGGTGACAAGTTAATATTGAAAGTGATTATATATTTTAGTCATGGATCCTGTTGGAGTTCAAAGAATACATGATGATTATCTGGATCCAGATTGTATGTGTCCGATACCTTTACAATGGGTCGCCATCAATCAGTAACAGTTTCACGTTTAATCTATGACAGATATCCTAGCTTTAGTAGGGCTGGCTCACAAGAAAAACCTCTTGACGATTGATTTGGATAATAACAGAGACCTCGTGAATAGGTTTTTATTTAATTTTACCACGATGGACAGAAAATATATCCCTTAAAGGTTTTCCATTCCAGGCAATCATAGCATTTGGCTTAAAGCTATCGCGCTCTATTTAGGCTAAAATTTAATGTTACAACTGTTATCTGGACTAATGTTACCTTTATTCTTTTTCAGACTTGGCTGCTCTTGAAGAGCTACTTCCATGGGAAGGTGTGAACTTTCCTGGAAGAATTATTTTAGATCCTTTTGATATAGAGGATGATTTTGAGGACATCTGGTGCGAAGAATCTGACACCACACCATTAAGCAGCTATTTCGTTGATAAACCAGTATACTAAACACGTTATAACTATAGCTTCAAAAATCCGAAAAGGAATTCTGTCATCATTATTCTGTCTATTGGTGGTTTGCGGCTAATTTCATGAGAACTTAACCTAAGTGTTTCGGTCAATTTGTGATTGTTTTTTAACATTTGTTTTCAAGTTATATAAGTCTTTGTGAAAATAGCTCCAAACTTTGTTCAAACATGCGTTCATCAGATTTTGAAAAATTAAATTAACTATAATGTAAATAACTCGGTACGTACGATATTAATAATAGAACTTGGTTCAGATAGTCCTCTATTATAGAACATCTGATCTTCAAATATTTGGGAAATAATGAAATAATTCTCTAAAATGATCTAAATAATTTACCATATATAAAATCAAACTGGAATCGGTTCAGACAGTAATCTATTAAGATACATCTGACCTTCAAATATTTGGGAAATAATGACAAAATTCTCTATAATAACTTCAGTATTACAATATATAAAATAGAAATGGAATGGAGTCAGCTAGTCGTTTAAAATATTTTGGTAATTAAACTTCTCAGTAACTAATAAGTGTATCGATGTATTGTAAAAATAAAATGTTGAACGTATGCTTTGTTCATTTTTTCAATTTTCATTTCAAGACAAGTGCAATTTGTCAATTCCATAATGAATCGAATTATTAAAACTTAGTATGTGCTTTTTATGAGCCTTTTCCTGAATCTATCTTCATAATGCCTAAGAATATTAGCATCCATGAAAACCGAAAAAAACAAAAGCAGAATGTTTAAAAATCGGCAAATGTACTCTCCCATACACATGTAAATAAATCCTGACTATTCCTTGATGAAATAGCATTTGCTGTCAGATTTGTAAACTCCTTATCAGCTGAATCTGGTCAGCTTATCAACGGCTTGACACTCAAGGCCCAGTTGAGACGTATTAAGGACTATTTAAGTTCAGTAATGAGACAGTTGCATGGCTGACTAACACATTCCTGCCAGATAAAGCCGAGTCCCAGTCCAGAACAAGGCATAGAAAATTACAGGTCTTTTGAGAATTTGGTTTCCCCCGTGTCGTGTATGGCAACACTTCAAACATTTCTTAACCTCAATTATTATGCAAAGCTGCTTGCAGAAAAGTAGGACGTAAAACTCCATTCATTTCATTTCATTTATTCAAAGCTGCTCAAATTGTACAACTTGAAATGATATATGTATCACCTGGGCCATGCCACAAGTGAAGGATTACACCCATTGATACTTGAGTGTTTTACTATTTTTGAGCAAATCAAAGTTTCGAACAGTCAAATACTTCAAAATCCTTGACCAATTTCATAAAATACACCAGTATTATTGGTATGTTTTTAATACCATAAAAATATTCTTACAATGTCCAAATAATAATAATAATAATAATAATGAGGTACAAATAATGTCTTATTACATATTGAAAAATATTGTACAATATATCAGTGAACAGAAAGTCAAAAGCATCATTCTCTACACAATAAACTTGAAACAACAGATAACCTTTTTTAGGTACATTCAAACTGAAAGCAACACATAGTTATTTCCCTTGAATAATTATATTTCAAAAAGTTATATTAAACTAAGTTCTATAGTTCAGATACATTATGATATCTGTTATCATTGATATACAAGCTTAAACAATTGTTAAAATGATTGAATGAGTTCAAAGAGAAAAATTGCCATGAGAAATGGACACAATTATCCATATCTTGTGTGTGTTGAATGAAATACATAGTTTAACTAAAACGTCATTGCATAAAAATATTTGTCTAAAAAATGCCAATCAAAAGCAGTGATCATCAGATTAGAGTTTAGACCAGCTAAATTTGCCACAATCAATTGACAGTAAAGTTAAAAGAAAATCTAAAATGAATTAATGTTGAACATAATCACTCTTGATTAGAGTTATTTCCCTTCAATTAAAAAAATGTTTCGAGGTCCATGTTGGCTCCATTAAAAACTCTGTATTATATAAGTTACTGAAACAAAACAACAGGTAATAGCACTGTTAATTCATGCTTGCCCAAAATATGACACAAAGATTATACCGCATGCATGTTGCTCAGTTTGCTTTTCAACGATATACAACATAAAAGAGTATGATTGTTATTCCAAATAAGCAACAATCAGTCAAGTCTATTTTGAACAATGGAAAATAATTTCTACATTACCATTTCAAAATTGTACATTATTCCTACAAAATTTTACATCATACTATTCCTGGATTATATTGCACGCAATTCAATAATTTACATGATAGTCATTGACATGAAGGACCATCAGGTGACAAGATGTTATATCTGAATACTAACAATATCCTGTTAATAAATATATCCTGTTATTTCAATATTAAGTCAGTAAAAACTATGTACTTAATGCTTATCATGAACAGTGAACACAGATGTTAGTTAAAGCGTATATTTTGAAAATATTAACACCAATATCAACTCTATATAAGAGGGCACTCAATTGGCGAGTTCTGAAAGGTTTCGTTTGTCCATATTCTCGCTTTAATCAAACAGTACAGAACTGTTATGTCACATTTTCTTCCATCGATTCCCTCTCCGCCATTTTGATACACTGTCTACACACATGGAACGCATTCTGATCCCTGATTTCATGAATCCCCAATGTTCATAACTCATCAATCTAGTGCCACCCTTATGTCTCTGGTAGAATTATGTATCAAAGTAATGATTTGTCTGAATCAAACAGGCTTGGTCATTATTTATAAAATTGAGAGTAAGAAATAGTAATACAGATTGAGCAAATGTTCATTGATAATTATCAAAATCTTCTACTCTGTTACCTTCCAGTCTTCTTATTCTGATATCCAGTCTTCTTATTATGATATCCAGTCTTCTATATCTTTATACTAAGCTTAATTCCATATTTCTATAAGCTGGTGAGACTTGTTCCATTTTCAATTGGTTTCTGAAGGCATCAGAATTTCAGATCAATTTGTCATTAATTGGTGCCGTAATAATTCACGATTCCATGCTGAATAGTTACTCCCATTTGATGCTACTCTCAATTTAACTTAAAACAAGCCTGATCTGCATTGTATACCCTTTAAAAAACCATAAATTCTTTTCAAGTTTCAAGATCCATTCATATCTTTTATCACAAGTCATTTTACTGTTATCCAATTTCCTTACAGCACACCAACAACTGAACAAACACATAAAACACTAATCAACTACCAAAATTCACTTTTCAATGTTTGTGTCTCCAAAACTGAACGCCTATCCCTGCTCAAAATCTCATAGTCTGTAGTCTCTCACATCATGCATTGTATTTTGTAAAGAAGAAGATGTAGTCTTTTTTATCACATAAACACTTCTTTATCTTCAGGAATGATTGACCTAATTCTTTTGATCTGAAAGACATTAGAAATTTCATAAATGTTATGAAAAAAAAACCTTTTGATTTCATTCATGTACCAAATTGGGCATTAACAATATTCCAAGAATAAAGTCTCAAAATATATTATTACACAGTTAATCCCTTAACAACTGGATATATAGCCAAATCTTAAATCATGAATTCTTCAAATCATTAAAAGATCAGCAGAATAAAATGATACATGGTTTGCTCTACTTGGCTTTTTATACACATTAGTATCCTTAATTTTCTAGAAAGATGACTGAAAATTGTAGTTGCTGCCATTTATAACCATTCATTGAGGGCTGACTCTACAACCATCAAAATGACCATATGTTGACAGACTTAATGAGACACTTCGAATAACAAACTGAGCTGAACTAACCTTTTTCTAGCGGTCAGGGAATGTCATCATCTTCTTCCCACGGTGGAGCAGTCGGTAACATTTGTTGAAAGGAGAAGTCTGTGAGAAATACTTGATCTGAATTAGTATCGGAGAAAAAGGGGAAGGGATTTAAACTGTCTTCAGGGGAGACTAATGGATGACAAGTAACACGAGGCTGATGATCTAGTAATGGAGTTGTTCCTATCACAATATCCACCGGTAATTTCACTTTACGTCCTAATCCTGATGGCTTGATACATAACTGAAAATATATATGGATATTACTTAATTTAATTCAATAAAAGACGATTAAATGTGCTTAAAATTTACCAAGTGATACTATTGTTTAATCCAACATATTCATGCACTTTGTATGACTATGATAATTTTTGATTTTTTTTTGAGGAATAATAGCTGATCTGAATTGTAATGATAAGAATAAATTATGCAACCATGATACAGTCTGGAAAGAGAATCATAGATTTTATTTTCTCTTTCCCAGAAAAATTTGGAGCTCAGTTTCTGCTAGACGTGTCATATTTTCAGGTTTCTAATTTGGCATCAAGGACAAGTCTAATTTGACGCACTTGGTTGTTGTTGGGTATTAGTTTATTATTATGAAAATTATCATAGAAAAATAGCTCCATCAGTGGTTTAAGCAAATTAATTTCTGAGAAAATGTTAAAAAATAGCAAAACAACTATAATCCTTTCAATGACAAAGAAATAGCTTCTTTAAATATCTTACCTCTATACTATACTGAACATCAATAATTTTACAGCCACGAAGATGAGAGGACGGTACTGTAGGTATACTTAATAACTCTCTATTCCACGTCTGTTTACTGCGGGGAGCTACACTTCCTTTATGTATAGTCACTAGTACCGTACATTCACTAAATCTACCACGATATGAATAATATGTTACATTCTGAAAAATACAAATTTGATATTCATTAAATCATATGGTAACAATAAGATTAATCTATATCAACTTTACTTGTTTAATAGTTGCAGTTAGTTATTAAAGATGAATAAATACAAATAGTATATAAAAAGAACATAATTGACCTTGTGATATTAACTTTTTTTAACTCTTAAAATTTGAAAGAAACCTGTCCAGTCATATCACATAATAGAATTAGGTTTTATAAGTCCCTGAGAAATAAAGACAAGGTCCATAGAATAGGATGTCTTATTTTATCTGAGTTTCACAAAGGATCCTTTCTACCAGCTGGTCCTTGGCTACACTTCTTGGCATTGATCTATCCCAGATTATCTGTACCCATTTACAGACAGGTCAATTAAAATTATGAGTGGAGATGACTTATTCATGACGTTTAAAATTGGAACCCACAACTGCCATTTGTTTGATGTTCATGTAAAGAACAAACACTCTAACGGACTGTGTTGTTAGAAAACCTTACTGTACTGTAAATTTTCGCAATAAATGGAACAGTTTCGACTTGGTTAAAAACAACATCAGTTCTGATGGTTTCATGGTTATTATTTCAAAATTTCATGGTGGTAATTTTAACAAATTTACGTTCCTTAATCTCAAGGAATGGCACTAACAGACAATATTCCTGGGAGCAATTCAACTTGAAAAGATAATATTGATGTAATCTGAACATAAAATAATGTTATATTTATCCAATTATTTACGGTCTAGTAGTTATTTGTATAATAACTATATTTATATTACCAAATATAAACAATATTATACTTAATCTGTACCTGTATCACGCAATTCTTATAATTATCATGCTTATATCATGATAAACGCGGTCATTTTCACATCAATTTTACAAGTTTCACTCTTAAAATAATTCTGACAGATTGTTGTTCGAGTTGCACTTGGTTGATCTTTCTATATTAAGATCTAAATACAACCGAATTAATCCATCTCACAGATTACAATCTAATCTATTTCTTTGAAGCCAGTGATCAGTATAAAGGATAAAATAAATTGATTTTCGGGGAAGATGAAATGATATATTTAGTGCTTAATTTTCAAAGACAAATAACAATTAATTGGACTATTATCAATTTGTTGCAACAGATGATGCATACAATATCTAATCGATATCTAAATCAAATATTCTGAAATTACATATTCAGACTAAAGTTTGCATAGTATGTGACTAAAACATGTTGCAGGTTCTGTTTAAATATTTCTATATTGCTCTACAACTGATGTATTGAGCTCTATTTTAACGGTGATATGTCTATATCACTCTACAATTGATGTATTGAGCACTATTTTACCATTGGTATTTCTATATCACTCTATATTTGATGTATTGAGCACTGTTTTAACAGTGATATTTCTATATTGCTCTATAATTGATGTATTGAGCAGTATTTTAACAGTGGTATTTCTATATCACTCTACAATTGATGTATTGAGCACTATTTTACCATTGGTATTTCTATATCACTCTATATTTGATGTATTGAGCACTGTTTTAACAGTGATATTTCTATATTGCTCTATAATTGATGTATTGAGCAGTATTTTAACAGTGGTATTTCTATATCACTCTACAACTGATGTATTGAGCAGTATTTTAACAGTGGTATTTCTATATCACTCTACAATTGATGTATTGAGCAGTATTTTAACAGTGGTATTTCTATATCACTCTATATTTGATGTATTGAGCACTGTTTTAACAGTGATATTTCTATATTGCTCTATAATTGATGTTTTGAGCAGTATTTTAACAGTGATATTTCTATATTGCTCTACAATTGATGTTTTGAGCAGTATTTTAACAGTGGTATTTCTATATCACTCTATATTTGATGTATTGAGTACTGTTTTAACAGTGAAATTTCTATATCACTCTATAATTGATGTATTGAGCACTATTTTAACAGTAGTATTTCTATATTGCTCTACAATTGATGTATTGAGCAGTATTTTAACAGTGGTATTTCTATATTGCTCTACAATTGATGTATTGAGCAGTATTTTAACAGTGGTATTTCTATATTGCTCTACAATTGATGTATTGAGCACTATTTTAACAGTGATATTTCAATATTGCTCCTTAATTGATGTATTGAGCAGTATTTTAACAGTGGTATTTCTATATTGCTCTACAATTGATGTATTGAGCAGTATTTTAACAGTGGTATTTCTATATTGCTCTACAATTGATGTATTGAGCAGTATTTTAACTATTGAAAATTTATAACAATGAGAAGTATATTGGCATACAAGTGGTTACAGCTAGATGATAAACAAATTTCTGAAATGAAATGTGGGCTAATGAAGAAAAGCCACACCATGCAGGGTTCAGTGAGGAAAATTTTGCCAGAACAGCAGCATTAGCATGCTCTTTTTGATTTCCAACTGTCAAGTGATCTTTAACGTGCACAGCCTGTAGCACACATGGCCTTAGTTAAACAAATCTGTGAGACATTGACACATCAGAAAACAAGGTGGCTAGTGCCAGACTAGTCAGCTCAGTCATAAGCTTCAATAGCTATATATAATTCTAAAAAATTGAATAGAAGATGGGTATTTTTCTTTTCCTAGCCTAGGTTATACTAACCCCTTCCTTCCATCAAATAAACCTCCTAAATCTATCGAGTTTCGTGGAAATTAAAGCAATTTTTTACTAATTGAGCAATTTGTTATCAATTTGAAGGACTAACTATGAAACCAGACATGTATATTACCTGATCAATACTTCTACTGACACTGATTGTCAAATTTACTTTATTCACTCGAAAACACATGAATATACCAGTATTGAGTTCCAAATAGAACAGGACGATACAATGACATTAAGGAAGCTGAGTTGACAAATGCAATGGCACGGGTTGAGATCTCTTTTTCATTATGAGTACCAACATTAACTCACAGTGCAGAATGGTACAGAGTAGAATTCCTCATTACCAGATTTAAGGCAAAAAGTTATCCAATGCACACCATTGACTGTCTAATTTGAACACTTTATTTTTGTAGTCATAGAAATGAATATGGTATTTAAATTTCTTATTCACATGATACCTTTTTCCCAAAATAGTTAGATATTGATGTAAGATGGCATTATCCTGGAGCGCAGACCTTAATCATGGGTAGAGCAATTGATTCAGCATAAACGTTTTCCTGTCAAGACGTAGCCAAAATGGACTGAATGATAGACAGGTCCATGGCATGTCACTTTGGTGTATTGGACCACATATTCGTTCATATAAAGAATTCATTAATATTGTTTTAAACAGGTCAGGAAAATTAGAATCAGTTTAATAGTGCTAGAAATACCACAGGAGATAATAAAGTTTTCATTCATAACCTTAACATTACACTAACCCCCAGCAGCCAATACAATAAATATCTAAACCAATCAAATGATTTTTACATTAACCAGGTTCTAATTTCTCACCGAATTCTCCCACCATGTTGACAAGCAGATGTGAAGAGAGAAAAGCAGAAGACAGATTTGTCTGATGGTTAATCTGATCAATGAAGACGAAGTATTCTTTAATTTCCTCAAGTGGTTTCAACATAATGGTCTTGCCATTCACCACATGGCCATTAGAGGTTATCATGTGACCTAACTGAATTATGGGAATTGTCTGTGGATAATTAACGTGACCTCCTAGAAATTATCCGTTTCGTCTGCAGGTAATTCATAGAATATGTTTCAATGAGCTAATGACATGAAATTTCCATTCAAATTGTTTCTTCAGACGACAGATTTGTTCGAGTTTTTTGTATCTCACAAGCAAATGAGGTAATAATCGTGATTTAATTCAAATTTGTGTCGTCGGAAAAAAGACACGTTTAAAAATACACATATGTAGATAGATCTATCTGATCAGGGAATATTCAACAGATGACAATGATTTTGTTAGCAAAAATATTATATAGATGCAGTGTTCTCTGCATGAAACAGTTACAGCATCTCAGATAATGTATTACTGGTATAGCTATGAACATCAAGTGAAGTTTTTCTTTCTCCAATAAATGGGCTCATTATATCTAAGAGAACACTTACTTATTCATTTAGTAACAACACCTAGTTATTGAAGATATATAACCCACCATAATCTGCACAATTTAATATCAAAATAAATTTTTGAAGAACAATTGTTGCCTATAAATTCTGCCTGAAAAATCTGCTTCTTGTATTCGGTATCATATTTAGATTCATTCATGTTGATATTTTGATTTGACTAGAAATGTTTGTGAATGAAATTATCTCCCAGTAAATAGGAATCATAACAAAGTCTGCATATTTCACCACAAAACAAACAAAACCTCCAAATATTATGGCAGGCATGAATGAAAACAAGCATGTGAAAATATGCAACATTTGGTATCTAAGAATAACTTAACTTTCTGTTGGGGATATTATGACAGAAAACTAGAATTATAAATAGAAAAACAATGATGAATTCAAAACTGATCTGATGCCTAAAGCAATGTTTTTTTTTGCATATCCTCACAGAGACGAGTCCAAAAGATTGTTTGTGTTGTGCTTAACTGAAACATCACTGACCAAAAATATCGTTTAACTGATGCACACTCAAAATGACTGATCGCTTACAGTGAAAATGACAAATTTTCAAAGTTGATTTGATACCATAATCCCGACAATGGTTAAGACACCAACAATTTCTAGTTTATGTAAGATTTGCAGTTGTTTCGAAATCTAGTTTAAAAGCAATGATAGATATCAAAAGAGTCATATATTATTCAGGTATTAGTTGTGATCTAAAACTGGTCCCACTCGCAAAAGCACTGGTTGTGGCATTAGAGTTAATATTCAATAACTTCTGTCAAAAATGTCTATTAATTTGATTTCAATGAAACAAGACATGGAAAGATTATGTAAACAGAATCACTTCAAACCATTGCAAGAACTGATAGCTTTCAAAGTAAACACCAGATATAACCTACTTCTTGAATGAAAGTCACCTTTTTAAAAGTCTGCATTCCTACACCAAAATAACCTTCCAATCTTAGAGAGCTGTTTCAAGCATCATTCAGTTGTAATTATTTTTTTACAGCAGAACAGTGCCATCAATTATACATCAATTTAACTGTGCACTCATAATACATTTAAAACTAATGGCAAGTCTACTCATTTAAAACTGTCAGTATTTCAATTCTTGTAGGATTTCTACATTATGACCATTGAGTGTTTCAATTATAATGGCTGAAATTCTCAAATTAAAATTAATGATGCTTGGAAGTATTTTTAGAAATGAAAATGAGATGAAATGAATGAGTTTTATGTCTTCTGCACTTTATGGGCTAATGAAGATGGATAAAGTATTTTTGGGAATGAAGAGGTTTTATCATGTACAGTAAAGGATTTAAGGTTCTGTAGAAATTCTGGAAAATGTCAGTCAAATGGGGTTTAATTTCAGTAAAGTTAACCTCTGGTTCCTTAGATAGGCTTTAGATATTACAAGACTGATAGGTGGGCAGATGAGTGCCTGTAGCGGGTGGAATGGTATCTACTTGACAAAAAGGTGAAGTATGTTTGAATTATATGTAAGGCAAAAAGACATAAGGCAAGGCATTCAATTGCAACAACATCATTGAGTAAAATAAAGTTAACCAATAAATAGGTAATAGATATTATTTCACACAGCAGTTCTATGATGGGAAGAAACCTATGTCAGGTATTAAAAGAAATAATTGGCACAATTTCACTTCACACATTTTTCTAGTGGAATTTTGTTATTTACAAGATTACATGTAGAGAAATTGAAATAAATGTTGACTAACAAGTTGAAATGAGATGTTTGTAAGATGCTCTACTTTCAATAATCAGGTCTACATCAGACATGAGATAAACTGGAGCATGTTTAACAGTATTAGGAGAAATGGATTATTATATGATTCTTGTAAAAATTATGATTTGGATATTGGATAAAGGCACTAACAAGAATCATTCAACTTATGAAACATGAATCTCTCTACTCCTAAAAAACTGGAACAAGATTGTAAGGTTCCTTTGGACTGTCTAATACAAACAATAATTGTAGTATTTTTTTTATGAACCCTTTTGTGTTATAGCAATCCTTGTATCGGTAAGTGGATGAATTCCCATTCGTAAACTTTCCCAATTTTCAAGAATGAAAAATCTTTTCTGTAGCTCTAAAAAAAATTTTGCTCAAATTTGAAGCAAAACCAATTTCAAGCATCAGAGATAGATGATAATCTACCTGGAATGGACACTTATCTATCTAGATCCCTCGAGGAGTTATTGCACAAGATTTCTTGATTAGATTAATTACAGGATTGTTTATCTTCCAAATAGAAATTCCAGTTTCAGTACAAATCTTTATGTTTAATGCATTTTCAACTTACATGCTCATTGATAAATATAATGCACTCAAAAATACAGTAATGCATTATATAAACAGATAATCTTCATCTCTCATATGCTTACAGCCTCACACTGTGATTCTCCTAATACAAGATGATCAAGTTTAAAATACTCAGCATTGTGTTCAACATTGAAATAAAATAATGAAAATTATGTAATTCAAACCCAAAATATTCCGGAATCAAAGCATGCGCTCCTTGTAGCCCAACAAAAAATAATATAAGGAAATAAAGACTATGGAGTAACAAATCTGTGCCACTGGACTGTCCACATTCAGTTTCTCTCGGCACAAACAATCATCAACATAACGGCTACCTCAATATTTTTTATGTAAAGGACTGCACCAATTGCTGCATCATTTCAGAAAATATGTTTACCAACTTAAAACCTCTCATGTAGATGCTTGCATCAATTGTATAATTCATCAAATTAAATTGAAGATTATGTTGAAAACTGCTGAATATCTATTTAATATTTGTCTGTACTCATCATCACCATTCCAGTAGGGAATATAATATTATTATAAATAGTACTGTTTGAACCTTGTGATTACTAATAACTTTATAACACCACCAAAACTTTTGTAAGAAGATTGTTTCAAATAATTAGGTTGTTCAGATAAAGTTTTTTCAAGATCTGATCCCAAATGGAATCAGGACACATCTGTATGAAATGTCATATGAAACCTCTTTCAATACTGTTTTCAGTTGTTCACGTGTTCTTGAAAATAGTACCTCCAACAACTTGCAAAAAAGAATTATTGGTATTCCAAGACTTCAGAGACATTTAACATTAATCATAGTATTCACATCAAAGTAATCAGACCTGTGTTAAACGACTATTTCTATTTGGAATACTAATGATCTTAAGTATGTAAATTATTCCTTAAAGAGCCACCAGGGAGAACATTGAAATGGTGTATAAGCACAGCTTTTTCTTAATTTTCTTGAACTATAAAATTCACACTACAATACCTAAAGAATACTGATGATTTCAGAGACACCCCCACGAAAAACACATGTGAAATATAAAGTAGCTAGACACTAGGTTAAGGTTTAATTAATGTTGTTTAATTGGTTATTTCTGTATTCTAGCAAAGAGATAATTAATTCATCTATATGTAAACAGAATACAGATGCTAATAAGACCTAAATTATTCTTCAGATCACTTGAAAAAAAAACAACTTCAAGACCAGACGCTCTTATTTGATTAACAATTATCTACTCTTATATGGTAAAACTTTTTATTCTAGGACACAGAGTTTTTTGTTAAATAGTTTTTGTTAACACAGTAATTATGGTAGTCTAAGATTGTCATATCTAAACAGAATACTGATAGGTTATAACACTATAAATTATTCCCTACATACCACTTGTAATTATACCTGACCAACATCCATAACCTAACATCACTATAAACAAAATAACTACTAACTTAATCATCTAGGTCTTAAAATATCTTTATATTGTTTTAATGTCTTTATTGACCACATTTTAATTGAGCAAATTAGGAAATTAACTAAAAGTTTCAGTATATGTATTATAATGTTCTGTTGTTGGAATCTTGCTATATTGTCTTATTTTGAATTTCTTTCTTAGATAAATCACCCTTAACAAAAATAATATTTTCTGATGGTAATATTATCTCAGGGTATATGAATTTAGCTACCTAAATCTGGCCACATATTCTCGAAACGATCTTAGTGCTAGGATGTCCTAGAATCAATGTTAGGAGATAGGAACCTAGGACATCCTAGCGCTATGATCTTTTCGAGAATACGTGGCCAGAAGCTCACTTTTAGAAAGCCACAGACATTCCTACCAGCTGTAAATAAAGTCCTTTGATTAGCTTTGGCATTTCACATTCCCTATAACTCAAACAAAAGATGTGTGAATGGTATTTACCTGAATTAAAGAAACTTGTGTGGAAGCTAAACGTCTTGTACTGAGATTTTTAATCTGTGCCCAGACGGGTATTGCTTCCTTTATAGTATAACCTTTTCTATCAAGTTTTACTGAGGCAGTCACTGTCCCTGATATACAGCACCATGATCCCACTGTTTCAAATGTATCATTCTCAACTGGAAGCTGAAATATAAAATTGCTGATAGTACAATTAAATTAAAGGGGCTGCAGTTCAGATGCTGGTGTGATGTTATATGGTAGGAAAAGACAAGAAAAGAGAGGGTGCAGCAGAGTAAAAGTTCTGTTTGATTCAGATCTGCATGTGCACAAATATCTGTTATAATTATCTCACAAATCAAAAAACAGGCAAACATAAAAATTATATAGTTTAAATTAGGTTTAATTGAGTTAAATATACCACAATTGTAGAGACAACATGTAAGATAGCAGGTTTTATATTACAAAACTAATATTTGGTACATTTTCTTACAGGTATGTGCCATTTCAAATTAGGCTGAACTACTGAAGCTGATGTTTATTTCCTCGCCAAGATAAATGTTTAAAATTAAAGATTTAATTTCAGGGTAAATACTGATATATTTCTCACACTATCAACAATTCATACATTGAAATCTATTAGTTTCATTAGAGAAAGTCTTCATATAAACCTTTTAATTTATGCACGAAAAAGGTTTTGGGGAATTCTACACATTTTTCTTCTAAATTTGATATGAACTCAAAATGGGAAGAGCCTAATATACGTACAAAAATAAATAACCTACCGCTGCATCTGGTTCAGCATTTAGATCTAAAGATCCTATCACAGCAAATTTACTTGTTCGTTCATGATGGGGTCCACCAGGGGAATATATTGTCATTCGGACAAAATAACGTAAACGGCCATGTTTGCCTTTGAAGGATGAGGGTAGTTTCGATGGAAGAGTAAATTCAAAAGGGAAATAATGTGAACCTGGCTGTAGTAAACCTTCATCTTCTATTTTCTTTTCACCTAAAATTATACAGCATTTAAAAAATATTATGTATGTCATACATATTACTTGATGGATTTGATTTGAAAATTGGTGTATGTATTGTTTAAATTCTTTTGTCAAAACGGAAAGTATAAAAATGGATTAAGTGTGTTGGGATTTGATATAAAATCTGAAATACATCTGAAATTGATCTGATATGTTTAAATTCTTGATTTGTAGAAGTGCTGTTTAGAAAATCCAGAATAAACCATGGGCCAGTTTGTTGACAAAATCATTAGCCAAGGTAGTTTTCCAAAAGCAATATTATGCACATCCTTTTACATGGACTCTCTGAAAACTGCAAGATTTTCCCCCTTTAATAGCATTATTCACAAAATTGTACACATAGAACAGTAAAATTGCCTTTTACAAAATTATATTATATCAAAACTGAACCGATGGTAGGGCATGGGATAATTAATATGGAATAATAAGATTTGTATGACTTTTTGTAGCATTTTATATCATATCTGCAGTTTCTGTTTCCATGCTGAAGACTTCAATGTCTCCATGGGAAGATTACAGAACTTTCTACATTTATTTAATAGAATTTCAAATATGATTGTGAAAACGTGTTAAAACCACTAGTCTGTTACAAGCCATAAAATTTATCCCTAGAAGTAATAAACTATAGAAACTATAAAATAACTTTCTAGCAAACATGCTATAGCTTTATTTCTTATATATGGTCTACAATTTTTATCATCATATTGAGTTTTTCTACACCTATAAACCCAAAGAAATCTAATAATTGGTGTTTTTAAAGCACTGAAAACATGTATTTTACTTCTGTGTTTTCACACTAACTTCTGATATTAATGAAAATTAAAGATAAAACATGGTTTCTAATGGATTTATCATTTAAACTATTAAATTTAGAGTGCTTCAACCAGTTTTTGTTAGTATTATTCAAAATATATTCACAATAAACATATGGTAAAAAGGAACACCCATCAAAACCATAATTCAGAAGAGTCATGTAATACAACTCCTACATTAATAAGATTAAGAAAGCTTGCCAGGCAAGGTAATATATGCCCACTGGCAGCTTTGATATTAAATAAAAAAAATATGGCAGTAAAGTAACAATCACCAGCATGAAATTTTCAACTTTCTACACTTCTTTTGAACTTTTTGGGGCGATACTGAATAGTATAACCAAGTTAGGTCAAAATCTGGCAAGAATTATGCCTTTTAGTGTTTACTAGCTAAAAATTGATTACAAACACTCATGACAAGTTTCGTCAAAATCAGTCAAGAATTGTGGTTCTAGAGTGTTTTCGAGCAATTGTGGACTGACAGGCGGACCGGCAGACGGACATGGATGACGATTTATTTCATGTGGCCCAACATAGATGATCCGGATTAGAAAGAAAGAAAAAAGCCCACAAGTTCTTACACGTATAACATATTCAGATCATGTTCATCAGCTGATCCTAGGCGAAACCTCTTGGCATTGATTATTCCTGGATTATCTATACCCATTAACAGCTGAGTCGACAAAAGATTTCTTGTTAAAGGTCATCAGAGTTTCACAAATTGACTAAGATAAGAACCCACAACAATGATGTAAATTGTGCTACCGACAGGGCTGTTATGGGTTTTTTTCTAATCAGTTTACAGCCCATCCTCAAAGGTTTTTTTAAAGCACTATAATTTCCTTGTGAAATCAAAAAGGAATAGGACACAGAGGGTGATATACAATGCTCTCTGATAATACACACTTTAAATAAAACAACAATAGTATTGGCTAAAAGCTCTTAGCTTTTTACAACTTTTATTTCGAAATCAGAATACTGGAAATTTCACATGAATTTTGTTTACTTCTACTTGTCTTAACGACAGACAGTGTAAGAAAATAAATGTGTTTTTAAAAAGTGAGAAGTTATTTACTAGAAAAACAGAATTTACAACTCAATTTTTCTTCCAACACTAATCTCTCTCTAATCACCTTTGGCAGCCAATGGCAGGTCCACAGGGACTTGATTCCGTGCTGAAAATATTCCCTGAAATTACTTCATGCATCTTCTCCAAGAGTCAAACAACTCCCAAAGGTGAAGTTTGGAATGACGAATGAGGGTTTAGTTGCAGAAGATGATTATCTAGCTGAACTTAAAGACAGTTATGGAGTCTGTAGAAACCTTATCAATATTGGAATTGGTAAATGATCCAGTGATAAGGTCACAGAATGGTAACGATTCTAATAAGTTACAGAAATAAAACAATTTCTAAAGCAAACTATACACAGGAAATCGTATCTTTGGAAAACATTTTGTATCATAACACTGTGCAAGATAATATTTTGTTACAGTGTTTTTTTTATTTTAATGTGACATTTACCAATTTACATAAATGCTTCTTCAGTTTAATGATCAAAAATTTTTTAAACTCCTTCTGGGGAAAATTTAACACTATCCTGATACCAAGTGAATCACATTCTTTGTTTAATACTTTGGTCAAATGTATCATAGCTTGGGTACCTTAAAATTTATGTTAAATAGTAGAATGGAAGATGGTGTTTCCAAAGGATGGCTACTTTTAGTGTATATAACAGTAACTTAACACAATTAAATAGATGGAAACATAGGGGATGCCATCAGAAACTTTTTATTTCAAAGAAATTCTTGAATATGGCAGCAAGCACAAAACTCAATGTAAGCTTATATCCGTAATTTAAATGCTCTTCCTCACTATTTAGGTCTACATAGATGAAAATGGTACAGGTGATTTGGGAAAGATAGAAATCAAGCAGTTTGGCTGATAAACAGGATGCTTGTGAATATTAGTTGTTAAATATGGATGTTTCTCTCAATCTTTTAACCTAATTCAAAGACTTTAATACTCAAGAAGACAATTAAACCTGGCAGGTATTGTCTAACCTTTTACCTTCACAGACATTAGTTTAATGGAATCAGAAGATCTTTATGTCAACTTGAATTACATCTCTGATCCTCTCTTTAAAATTTCCTCCAAGGAAAATTGAATTCCATGATCAGCAGACAAGATAAAACTTAATTACTAAGTCCAATTTCAAAATAAAGATAACAGCAAATTATGTATCAGAAACTATTACCATGGGGATTCTTTAATACACAATAAAGATTAAGCTTTTCGATGGAATGTGAGGAGGGGAGGGGTTCATTTCCCAGATTTCAGGTGATTATAATATGGTTAAAATTTTATAAATGCATGCAATCAACAATCCAGAAATATACATTTCAAGTGTAGATCACTTCGCTAATTTTGATTAAAATTATCTTTGAACTAATTCCCCCAGTTTTTGTTCAATTGCTTTCAGGTGTATGTGTAATTTTAATTATAAACTATGAATACTGAGATTCAGAAATTTTCTAAAAAAGTTCGCAATTGGCTATCATAATGTATAGACGGTTTATCATGAATAAATATATTTAAATTGAAAATCCACTCATGTAAGCATGTTTACGCTTGGGTCAAAACTTAACTTATGATGATTTTTGTCTTAAAGCATTTCATTTTGATCAAATTTCTTATCTTCATTTCAAAATTTGATATCCAATTATCAGATGACTTAATTTCTTAAAACCTTCATTTAAGTTTGAGGGGAAAAGCCGCTAGAATTATCATTCCTAGTTATTTTGATACAATATTTAGTAAAATTGTATTCCCAGACCAATCCATCTTTTAAAAGGTTAAAAAGAAAAGTTATGTTCAAAGGTTACCAACATCATTAAGATTTTCTCTCTTTCATTTTGTTCAATAAACATAGAAGAACTGACAGTTTTTCTTTGAATGGTTTTTCAAGAGGAAACAATGATGAGATGGATAGTTTCTGTTTTATTCCAACAAATGTTATTTATGTTGTTATAGTCTGAATTGCCCCATAGTTGTTCAAGGGAAAGGTGCCATATAGACATCAAGCAAACAGAGTGCCAAGCAAAGAAATTTATGTTCATCTGTGGACTGTATCTGACTCAACAACAACAGTCAATTCCAACTACCTAACAATTATGTAAACTGTTAATGTTTTAAAAGAGCCTGGATGTACATATCTATCCTCAACTATAACAATATACATTTTGTGTAATATTCACATGTTCATGATGTCAACCAATATATATGATGTGTCTGATTTTTAAGCCTTCGAACAATAATATTTCTGTTTGAAAAATATAGAATTTTAAACTTCGGTCAAGGAAAATATTCCAATTTTTCTAGTTGTCTTAGAAACACTGCAACTGAAATTATTGATTTCAGTAATAGTTCAGTTTGATTTTCTAACAGGACACCTTTCAGATATACATCACAGCTAACATCAAAACAAAATACACACCAAATAAAATGTTACTTGTCAAAAAATGAATGGAAATTGAGAAAGTCGGTCACAGAACAAAACAAACCTGTTGTAAATGATTAGGTTATAACAAGGTTAAAGTCATTGTGAAAGTTGGTTATTGAAATACTACAGGCAGTTCAGTAATGTCGTAATTTAATTTTAAAACATTTTATTTCATTCTGATTGACAAGTTTATACACTCAAATTTTATTATTGAATATTCTGGCTTAAAAATTGGGAAAAGGGTCAACACGCATTTCCACAAGCTAACAGGTCAGATTGAACGAGTTTTACATCTTTTGTTCAGCACGTTACCAATGTCAAGCAGTGTGAAATAAAGGAGATTTAACCAGGATAGCTTCTCCAATGTCAGTGAAACAGAGTTTGGAATGGCTAAGGTATGATCCACCTACACCTGAGACAAACCCTGGACCTTTAGGTTAGCAAGTGAAGGTATCATGGTCCCTGAGTGAAGTTGGAGATCAAACAGCAAATTTATCAGTGTTACTTGTATGTAATAATCATATCAAATGAATATTGTTAGCTATGTGGACTCTTAGAAAGAGATCACAAATCCATGTAAATAATTGTATTTTACATAAAACATCATAATAATTTTGATAATACATCAGAGCCCATGCTTTATTTTGAGAGTCGGTTAGGTACGGTT